GGGTACTCAAGGAGCTGGTGAGCATCATAGCCCAGCCTCTAGCACGGATCTTTGAAAACTCTTGGCGCTCTGGTGTAGTGCCCGAAGACTGGAAGAAGGCCAATGTGGTGCCTATCTTCAAGAAAGGGAGGAAAGTGGATCCAGCTAACTATAGGCCTATCAGCCTGACTTCTATCCCGGGGAAGATCTTAGAAAAGTTTATTAAAGAGGTTATCCTTAATGGACTGGCCGACGCCAACATCTTAAGGGATAGCCAGCACGGGTTTGTTGCAGGTAGGTCTTGCTTGACCAATCTCATTTCCTTCTACGACCAGGTGATCTGATGGCCACCTATAAGTTTATCAGGGGTGACCACCAGTATCTGGGGGAATGTTTGTTCACCAGAGCGCCCCAAGGGATGACGACTAGGTCGAATGATCATAAACTTCTACAAGACCGTTTCAGGCTGGACATAAGGAAGAATTTCTTTACTGTCCGAGCCCCCAAGGTCTGGAACAGCCTGCCACCAGAGGTGGTTCAAGCGCCTTCATTGAACACCTTCAAGAGCAAACTGATGCTTATCTTGCTGGGATCCTATGACCCCAGCTGACTTCCTGCCCTTTGGGCAGGGGGCTGGACTCGATGATCTTCCGAGGTCCCTTCCAGCCCTAATGTCTATGAAATCTATGAAATGTGTTCCCAGGTAATATGCCCCCACCCTTCAAATAAGTATAATTACACATCTGTCCATTGTGAAGTTCAGCTTCTGGTGCAGGCCAATTTTAGAGTTGATAGTATATGAACTGATGATGACTCTGGCTCTAAATCATTTTCACAGTGATATCTTGTTCATTATTACTTTGTTTAATAACTATCAGACTTATATGGATCAGTGAAGTTTTAGGTCTTATTTTTTTAGTCAGTACAAATATATGCGAGAAACAAACCTTGCCCAAAAATGCTATCAGTCTTCACAACCAGATGTCACATGAGTGCTTAAGAACTGGAGGGAATTGAACAGGGAGGATGTGGATAAAAGTGTCAGGAACATGTGGTTACACAAGACAGATACATGCACAATTTGATGGTCCTTATAGTCTAGAGACTAAAGCCTTACAGTCTCTACTTGCTGACGGTTTCTCAGATTTTCTGGTAGAAATATTTCCAAGATGAATTAGCAATTAAAGAAAAGATAAATGAAAATCTAACTAAGTGAAAGCATTTCTCATTAGAGCTCTGGTTTACATTCAGTCTTTTAAAACACATTGGATCTAGTGGTCACCCTACAGGTCTGTGGAATGAGTTTGTTCAAATATCCCTACCTTCCATGTCAGAAATATGGTCTAAAACTGCAGTCATGCTGAAGAGCAGAAATATTTTCTCAGTGCACTTGGTGCTAAGCCTTTAATTGGTAGGTCTTGACATGGACCAAAAGGTGAAAACTTTCATGAAAACCAATTTCCCTCATGTAGAAAATGTGAAATTTTAATGGAAAAAACTTAAAAAAGGATAAAAACTCAAATTCAGTGTTTTTCAAAATGAAAATCCTCATATTCCATTTTTGGGAGAACCAAAACAGAACATTGCAGCTCTTCCCTGGGCTGCTCAGATCCCCTGGGAACCTGGATTCCCAGGTAACATGTGATCCAAGCAGTCCATCAGGCAGGTCTTTGGAGATGCAAATAGCCATAGTTGCTTTGAAGCCTGGTTTTATAGAAACTTCTGGTGGCATCAGTATATTCACCAACACTCTCCTAGCTTTCTCTAGTGGAAAACTGTCGTATTAGAAATTTTAAAGTAGGTTTAATAGAAGTAGAAGCAAAAGGAAAGGTGGTCTGTTTGTCAGAACTGGTGGGCCTGATTTAGGACCCTCGCCCATCCTCTGATGCAATGCCTAAAGTTGTTTGTACGTTTATTTGTGTGTATTCCCTCTGCTACATGGTGCATGTGGAATGAAACACTGATGGTTGTACTTAATGATTAAGACCCAACACTACTTCCCAGTACAGCAATATGGGACAGTTAGGGCACTGACAGACACTCAGGTCCCTGCTCTAACTCATGGTACTTTGAGTAAAGTGCCTTGAGATAAAATGAGCCCCCCAACTGAACAGATGTTCACCTGTCATATGGGGCAGAGGTTGGGAAGGTGCAATCTGAAGGGAGGGAGGGAGGAGAAGGAGGGGGAGCTGTGGGCTCTGGGTTTGCTTCACCTGGACTGAAGGAGGGGGGGCAGAAGGAGGCCATGACTAGGGAGGGGGGGGGGGGGGGCCACACCCCCCCCGCTACTTTCCAAGTTTGGCCAATGCCCAAACCAGAGCCCACAGCACCCTCACCCTCCCTTCATGCAGACAGCATCAGGTGCAGTGTGATCACACTGACAAACTGATCCTAGGAAACAGAAGTTTCCTAAGTAACTCCACTTTGCAGTGCCTTCATCTGAACTCTTGTTAGATGAGGATTAATTTATCACATGATCAGGCACTTTTAAAGGACTCTGCAGCTATGCACTTCTGTCAGGGCACAGCTGTAGAGCACTTCAGGTGGGCTGCTAATGTAATAGATGTCACTTCTCTCAGCGCTCTTAGGGACAGTCATCTGAAAGATACTGAAATCATGCTGAAGGCCAATCTTTTAGAACCTAAAGAAATTCTGTGAGCTGACCCCTGTCTGCACTTTTGACAAAATAAAGTAATAATTTTGCCAGTACTTGCTCAATTTGCAATTAAATGGGCTGGCTGCTCTCCAGGGAGACTTCCATCAGCAAGAGTATTTAGCAGCACTGAAGATATTATTTCAAGACACTAACCTTAGTTGTTGCCAGATGAAGGAGAAGATAGTTTTGTGAAGGTAAATCTACCTTGGTTTGGTGTACAAAGGCCACCAGCAGCTCTGGAACTGATAAGGATGCAATGTAGGGGGGAACTTAGTACAACCTGGGTTTTGTTTTGGGAGGAAAGGAGGACTAGCAGTTCTTTCATTTTCCTTTGTCTTGTTTAGTTTTGTCATGCAAAAAATAGTCTGCAAAGATTCTCTTGGACTGGGTAGCATTGTTTTGTGCAAACCTGGAGGGTGCCACACCACAGAGCCATGGCCATGAGCAGCCAAAAGGCCCATTTGGAATCTTGTGAATTGGTGAGCATGGTGGGAAAATCTAGCTCTTCACAGTGTGGCTGCAAAGTTCCCTATGGCACTGGATCCAGTGCCCTACTGGGGATGGGACTTACTGGAATCACTCAGCATCCTTCACTCCTCACCACTTAACAGCCCCAGTGCTGTGGGAAGGGTTGTGGATTCCTTGCATAAATGTGCAGGCCGGTTGGGATCAAAGAGAGAATGAAGTGGATCCACACTATCCGACATGATACTAGTTCCCCTATCATTATCTCATGTCAAAGCATTGTTCTGGGTGAGGTTCAGATTGGATTATCTGCTGTCATTTGGTGGCAGTTCTTCAGTTTCTCTTTAGCGCACTGATCCAGGATCAAGGGAGTGATTTGTCTTAATATATTAACTTTCTCTTTCACTCTTCTGAGCCCAATGCAGTGTGCATTGACAGCTGATGTCTAGCTTCTGCAGTCTAGATTTGGTGGCACAAGTTTTAAAAGTAATGATAACTTTAAAATAATGAGACCTCAGCATATGACTACCAAAGCTTTGCTGAGCGATTGGTGGGGAGGGGAGACTGCCATTTTGTGTGTCGAGATTGTAATGTGTGGATAGGTGATAAGCGGGATTCCAACTTCTTTCTGAAATCACTTTTTATAATCCCCCAAATTGTCCTTGGCCTAAAACTAAAATAACTTCAGACAAGACTCTAGTGCAGTGAATTTAATAATATATTTCTGCTTGTGGTAATTATTTCTTTAACTATTACAACAGCGCTTTTTCAACAATTTCTCTAGAATATATGACTTCCTATTCTTCAAACTGAGAAAAAAAGAATTGCATAGACATCATGCATCTACTCTTTTTTTACAGTCTTCACTTAGAGCATGTAATATGCATCTTCCTCCGTCCGCAAATGTTGTCTGTGCATTTATATTTTTGTAAGATCAGCATGGTTTGATTTGCTTTCCATAAACCCCATCTCTCCTTGAAAAAAGGAACATCCTGCTATAAGTGGATTTTAGCTGGACAGCTGTACCTTAATGTCTTGCAGCAGGATTTAGTGTTTTGTAAGATTGATTCTGAATTATTGTGTTTAGGTTATAAAGTGACAAAGCATAACCCGGATGGAAGTATAGGTAATGGTAGAGTTTGTGAATAAGATTAGGCTGGATGCAGTCCACTAGGCCATTCTATCCAGTCTGCAGGACCCCTACATTTTTTTTTTTAATAATATTTACATGCCCCTGGCTGCCTGCCATGCAGCCCTCAATGGCTTGCCAAAACTCAGTAAGCGGCCCTCTGCCCGAAATAATTGCCCATCCCTTGTAGAACTAAGCTTCTTCATACTGACTTCCTTTGTGGTCTCATCATGTCACTTGGAGTTACATTTTCAAATACACAATAAATTTGAGGGGGCTAGCCTGGCACACAGGACTCTATTTCCTGAACAGTCTGGAAGTTGTTGCTCGCATTAATTTCAGCACTGAAGCTCAGTACCTCTGAAAGCCAGGTCAAAGAGCGAATCAAGCAACAAAGTTACCCATATTTAAGGGGTCATATTTGAAATTTCAGAACTTACTCTTCCTTTCTCTGTTAACCCTTCAGTAGAATAAGGCTGATGTCCCTAAGGAAATGAGTATTTTTGAAGCACTTTGAAAAGGAAGACTGCTCGGCATAGACTAAGTATAACAAGACAACTAATGGTGTGTTCAGCCCAAGATATTTAAGGAAGAATATGATAGATTAGTACAAATATTCAGAAATGCAAAACTCTAGAATTCTACAAATATTCAGTATTTTTTCAAAAAATTTCTTTCAATTAACTTATGGCCTAGCTGTGGAAGTAACATTATTAGTGATAAATTATTAAACTTTGGAGTCAAACAAGTTGTAAAAGCTGAACATGATACCTTTTCTGTTGTGTTGTGTTTGATTCTTAGATTCTGACTATACAGTGTGCGTGCTGGGAACTATCCAAATGTAGAGGCCCCTGTCCTGAAAACCAAACAATTAAAGTTGTATAGAATTTATACAGTTAAGCTTAATTATTCTCAATTAGGCAATACTTCAGCAACTTACTGTACTAAATGAACAAACTCCCTGCAACTGACCTCAGGCTGGCAATGTCCCATTATAGGATGTATAATTTCTGCACCATTATTCATTGTTTCTGCAAAGATTAGGGAGTGGAAAAGAAGAGAAGATAATTTCTGGAAATGTCATATAACTATTGTGACCTGACACATCTGTGGTGTAGTGGAAATTCATCCACCTAAGAAGCTGTTTCCAGAATAAGTCTACATTTTGCTGCGTTGGTTTTATTACATGGGACCTAGTTATGTGGTCATGTCTCAAATATCAAAAGAATACTGAAAATATATATTCTGAAGTGAGGGAGAAGTTTCAGATATCTTTTCTGCAACCTGTGTATTGCATTTTGATTCCAATAGATATTACAGAATCATATGTGTTGGGGTGTGTACAATAGTGCCTAGAATAAAGAAGCCATATTGCAAGTCCTGTTCCCTGATCAGTACAAAAATGGGGAGCTCTCTCTTAAAAAAGACATTAAGGCCATTGCTACTTGCTTGGTTGTGTTTTAGAGTGGCCAGCACTGCTGGGCCCATTTGGAGTTAATTGCTTGGAAGAGCCATTTTCTGTGATAATTGCCAGAAAGCTATGTTTAAATTACATGTTTTAATTGAAAGTTGTATCTTGAATTTTAATTCTCACAAGGTACAGGCATGTCTGGCATAGCCTGATATAGGATCCTGTGATAGGTTGAGATCTCAGGTTTAGCCTAGGAAAGAATTAAACCATTCTAGCCCAGATAGAGCCAGTTCGAGCAGTTCCAAACAAATAGCTTTTTCATTCCTGTATCAAAGACTTTTTTGGTATTCTCTATCATGACTTCTTACCTGAACTATAGTTTCATTTCCCTTTGGTTCCCTTCCAACAGCCTTCTTTGATTTAAATTTGTGCATTCTCATAGAAGGGCATATCAGCAAAATTAGGTGAAAATACATGTTGCAATTCCTTTTTCTCTTCTCTCTCACATTTTCCTGGGTAGACAGGGCAGGATCTTCAGACACGTTTATGCATATACTAAGGGTTTCCTCCAGATCTTTAGACACTTATATACCTTTCAAATTCTGCCCCCCAAAGTCTTAAAAAGATGGAAGATCACTTCCATAGAATTTTTTTCATTCCCTTTTTAAATCTTGTTTTAAAAGGGATTCAGCATTACACTGAAAACACAAGGTTTGCATTAGGGGTATGCGAAGTGGGCCCTATCGGATTTGGATTCAGATTCAGCCTGAATCGGGGACAGTGATTCGATTTGTTGATTTAGATCACTGTCCCTGATTCGATTCAGCCAAATCCAAATCTGAAGATTCAATGCTGATTCAGAGAATTGGCGATTCGGACATAGACATAGCTTAAAATTTTTTTTTACATACCTAATGGTACCATCATGGCTTGTGAAAATGCTGCAATACTGGGGCACATGGAGCATCCCACAGGAGTGTGGTGGGGAGCCTTCCACATGCTCGGCAGCAAGCTCGGAAGTGGACAAGAAGTGCTTCCGGTCCACTTCCGGGTCTTCTGGGGAGCATGCTGGGGGGCCCCCCCTGCACCCCCCCAACTCAGCAGTCAGCCATGGGGGGCACCCACATGCCCCCCCCCCCCCACAGACCCAGGAGGCACCAGTCACGGAGCCAGGGAGGTATGGGGGGGCACCCCCAGTGCGCTCCCCAGCGGACCTGGACATGGACCGGAAATGCTTCTGGTCCACTTCCAGGTATGCTGCCCTGCCAAGCACACTGGGGAGTCCCCTGCGCTTCTGTGGGACATTCTGTGCGCCCCAGTATCACAGCATTCATGAGCCACATGCTACCTAGAGGTACGTAGAAAATACACGTAAAGCTGTGTTTATGTTCAAATTGCCGAATCTTTCCGAATCTCTCCAAATCGATTTGGAGGGTTCTGATTACATTCAGAGAGATTCAAGGCTCCTCTGATTTAATTTGGATTCAGAGATTCAGCTACCGAATTGAGCTGAATCTCCACCGAATCGAATCAGGGACTAAAGCTTCGCACAGCCCTAGTTTGCATATCAAGGATCTACCCTCTATAAATTAATACATGTAACAGCTGCATGGCTCACTGAGCTACAAGCTGGATGAGCATGCCGTGTTTGAGGACCCTTTGCAGAAACAGTGGCAAAATGCTTGCAACGGGTGCCATGACTTTTTGCAGGCATGAAAATATACTGGGTACTGTGCGTGCTTTTTATTGGACCCTTGGCACAGTGACCAGAGCCCCGCTACCAATGAAGGGCCCTGATTGGTGGTTGCTTCACTATAAAACAGCTGTGGAGTGGGAAAAGAGAGGAAGGAGGATCCAATTCCAGCATGGAGAGAGTGGGGGCAGAGGTGCAGCCCTCCTGCCGCTGGAATGGGAACTGAAACTTGCTCTGGGAGCTGAATCCCAGGACAAGGGAAAGCCTGTGTTGCCCCGCTAGGAGCTGAATTCCCCACTGGGCGAATTCAGCTTCAGGACACCAGTGCCCTGGGGGACGTGGGAAAGGGAAGGGTTAGCCACAGCTGGTAGGCTGTTTGGGAGCTGGGAGAAGCTTCCGGGTTAGAGCGCTGTGGGAGGGAGTCCCGTCTGACCCAGGAAGGCTCAGGGCTGCAGGAACAAAGGACCTGCCGGGGAATGGGAACCCCTGTACTGGACTCTGAGTGTCGGGAGGGGAGGTGGTCACAAAAGAGGAATGGCTGAGAAAGCACAAACCTCAGGAGGGTGTGAGGAGACACTTAACCCTGTAGCATTTGCAAGCAATTTATTTTCAAAAGAGATAAGAGGAAGCCATTTGCCTGCATCCCCAGACAGACGTTTCAAGCATGACAGCCAGTCTGACAAAGGGAGTTCAGAGCCTCAGGAATGACAGGAGCCTCGTCCATGCCTTCTAGTGGCAGATCATAGCAACAACGGTGTTGCCAAAGAGAGAAATCCTAGAGAAACTGTGTTTTAAAGGTTATAACCTGGTGAATGTAATTATGGATGGAGTTTGCTGTAAGTGGGATCACTCACTGTGCTGGACTGTTCACTTGATGTTGCATTTGTAGACAGTATTTAAATTGTTGGTTTTATTAACTATTGATAATATATATATATATTTCTTCTTTTGATTAATCATTTCTTTTCTGTATATAGTTGTGTATAATAAAGAAATCCATTTGTTCAGTGAGCTTGGAGTAGATTCTTGGGTGGTGAGGATGAGGGACACACTGCTCCACGGGACACCTCAGTCAGCAGATCTGCCTGAGGGAGATCACAGGGCTACTGGTGCCTTGAGGATCTGGAATCCAGCATATCGCCCGGTCTAGCTGGCTGGAGAGGATTACATACAGTACAGTAGAGTAATTAAACTTGGTAATCTCATTAAAGCTTTTAAAGAAATTGATTATTTTAAAAAGATTTTGGCTAGTTATTAGGGTTTCTTAACATAAAGGTCAGTATTGGATTCTTACTGATCTTTTTCTGCTGCACTTCATTTTAAACTGCTGTGGAAGACTAAGTAGCAAAGCACCTGAATTCTGGTTCTTCATTGTTTATGGAGACAAGGTGAAATGCACAGGCTAATGAGAAGCTTAATTTTAATAATCACCTCTATTTAAAATTGGCCAATTATTTAAGTTACAGCTGATTGGCATTTTTTGGATGAAACATTGTTAGAAAATTCTGTTTTGTCAAAACAATTTTTTATAGGAAAAGGTCAGTTTTATTTTTTTGAAAAAAATGTTTATTTCAACATTGTCTGAAGTACAAATTCTGGTTTTCTGTTGTTAAATTAAACTCATTATAGAAAAAAGTTAAAATATAGTAGTCTTACTCGAAATGCAATATTTTGAAACAACACGGCTGGAATCATTTAATACAAATTCAAATTTTGGTATTTTACAATTCACTAAAATATTCAAGTTCCAACTTTTTGTTGCAAATTAGACTTTTAAAAAATTGAACTATCAGGTTTTATGAAGGACATAAATTATGTTTCACACAGCTTTGCTTTATAGACATGTTTAACAAATTGTGTAGCAGAGTATTGAAGTTTTTTTTAAAAAAAGCTTAAACACCAGATGCTTCCAATCCTCAACAGTTTTATATGCTTCTCTTTGAGCTTGTTTGTGCATATCCTAAATTTACCATATATTAGGCAAAGGTATAAGAATTTATGCTAATACAAATGTGTGCACTAGCTTTAAAAAACCTTTTTTTCTAGCCTTTGTTGCATATCACAGATAAATTAGTAGATATAAGTAGTAGAATGTTATGGGTTCATATAAGCTTGGTAAACTGTAGATGGCCCAGCTCGATCAGCACGTTCTAACTACAGCAGAAATTCAAGTCACTTGATATTTATATAAGATACATTCTGGTGTAGTGAGGCCAGAACAAAGGCCTTGATACCACTCAGTGTGACTGGACAAGTTAGGCTACCCATAGGACAAAGAATGGGATCCCAATCAACCTGGCATACCTGGTGTGAGAAGTAGTGATGGCTGTGGTCCAGGGCTTGGGTCACTGTGCTGGAGGCTCTCGTACCTAGTAGGTCTTCTTAGGAATGTGTATGTGCTTGGAGTGGAGTGGGGTACATAGACAGAGATGATGAGAACTGAACCAAATTAATCAAGAAATATGATCATTATTTCTTTCTCATTATACAGAACATCTTGTTACCTGGCAGGGGAGATACTACCATAAGAGGTGGTTTTGGCCCACGTGGTTTTACTCGGTATCTTACTTGGCAGGAGAGAGACCTGTCTTGTTGGCCTTGAATGACTTGGTGTAGTTAGAGGGTAAAGGCCTATCCCTTGTTCTGCAGGCAGGTTGACTCCTGCGAGAGTCTACAAATGCTTCCAAATGCAAGCATCTTGACTACGCAATTTATGGTGATGGGGGACTGCTCTTGGGCTTTCCACTTTCCCTCTAGTTTGCTCCTTTCGCCCTTTGGCTGGGGGCAAGCAAGACAAGGGGGTGTCTGAACTCCAAGGCCTCCAAGGTTGAGGCTTGTATGTAGGCTGCCTGCCATGGATTTAAAAGTATCTGAAGCCCCAGGCTAAAGAGCCTAGGAGGTAGGATACTTGCTGGTGGTAGTGTTCCACATACTTGAACGATTGAGCTGTGCTTAGTTGATAGAATTCAGAACTGATTTAAGCTGATTTGACTTGAGACACAAAATTAAAGAAAAAAAAAAAAGCAAATGGAGATACCTTGAGGTTGGTTTGGCTTAGGTGGTTTTCCTTGCCAGGCGGAGGAGATACTATTCTTGTTGACCTTGAATGGTGTAGTTAGAGGGTGAAGGACTGTCCTTTGCACAGCAGGCAGGCTGACCCCTGCGAGAGTCTACAAATGCCTTCAGATGTGAATTTCTTGGATGCACAATTTATGGTAATGGGGGATTGCTCTCAGGCTTTCCAACTAGCTTCTCCTGCAGCCTTTGGGCTAGGGGCAAGTGACTAGATAGCATCCAAACTCTAAGGCCTCCAGGCTTGGGGCTTGCACATAGGATGCCTGCCATGGGTTTGGAAGTATCTGAAGCCCCAGACTGAGCCTGAGAGGTAGAATACTTGCTGGTGGTAGTGCTACACAGACTTGAACAGTTGAGCTCTGCTCATTTGATAGAATTTGGAGCTGATTTGGCCTAAGACATGACATTAAAAAAAAAAGTATAGTTTATACCAGGCCCCAGGGGCTGCATCCAGCCCACCAGGCCATTCTATCTGGCCTGCAGGGCCCCTAAAAATTTTAGAAAATTAAAATTTATCTGCTCCTGGCTGCCTGTCAAAGATGACAGGAGCCATTCAGTTTGCTACTCGATGGAGAAAACAGGTCTCATTCCAAAGTCTAAGAACTTTGAAAACAGTTGCCAGTCTGTCATCCTAACAAATACTTCATCTGAAGAAGCTGCTTCCTGATCAGAGTGCTGCTTTCCTAGCATTAAAAGGAAGTCATTAGTTATATCACTATAACTTGCCAGCAGGCAGCTAGCTTAATATTGACATGTCAAGCTGTTACATTGCATAAAGTAACATAACAATGAAACTTGTCTAGGTGATGAAATGCCAGCACCTTGACATTTGAAGTGCTTCATATTTCTGTTCTACTGGGAACTTTGATATTTATTCTTTCAGTATGATTCAGCCCATAAAAGTACTGACCAATGCTAACAGACCCAAAATTTAAAATGAGATAGGTCAAAGGACTACTGAGGACTTGCACAGTGCAGTTATATACACAGATATCTGTATGTGCATGTCCATGGATCTGAAACACAAGGTAACCCAAATGCATGTGGAACACTGGCTTCTTGTTAGAATTGGGCCTTAGTTCTTGCCTTGCTGGGAAAAAAAAGCGTTTTAGTAATTTGTGCCACCTCTACTACCAGCAAGTTTGTTTTTCTGTTTCATATGGTTTGGATAATGATTCATCAGCTCCACATTTATTCCCAGGCACTTCACTTTCTGGACCTTGTGCAGTGTGCCATGTTCCAGTATTCAAGTGGCACATGCTGGAAGGAAATTTAAATCCAAATAAAAGATTGATTCACTGATCTGTTTTAAAACACAGCAATATAGGTTTTTCCCAATTCTTCCTTATTGCAAAGCTGCTTTCCAGGCCTTCCCCTTCCATATATTTTTATGTATTAAATAATTCCAATTATTGTTACCTATAATCAAATAATAAATGGACAGAAAAAGAGCTGTGATTTGACTATAAAAGCTATGAATCAATCAGCAGGATTGTTGCCATTCATAAACCACTTGCATTTTTAGCATGCTTTATAGAAGCAGAATCTCTAAATGAAGATTCAATTTTGTAATCCAAAAAACTTTGGACCAAATCCAATAAAAGACTTAGGTACCAGAAGGTTATTTTGTTAAGTTATTTTAGTCTTCTTAAGGTGGAAAGTGCACCCACCACAGAACCATACCTTCTTTAGTGGCGTAGTGGGAGAAGTGCTTTACAACATAAGGAGGCAGTTTAGTTCTGGTTTCCCATTTCCTGGATGAGTGAAGTTAACTGCATGTGTGTGGGGGTGTGTATGAAAAGTAGGTAATGGACCTCCCCCATCTCCCCCCACACAACTATTTTAAAAGAGAGTCTGATGCAATGGGTATTTGTGGGTGTGCTCAGAGACCACCTGCCAGATTGAACCCCTTCGAGGACTGAGGCAGAGGAACACAGATCCTAATGAAGTTTAGGTGTGACCTAGGCACCGTGTTGCTCTGCACTCTCGAAACAGGCATTTGTGCCCGTACCCAGACGTGGAATTTTTAGGTGCCTCCTGAAACTCTAAGGTCAGTCTTGAAGCCTCTGTGGATTATTGTACATGATCTCAAATTTTATGTAGAAGACAATCTGGACTCCTACATAAATCCTGAGCAATTCACTTTTATGTGCATAATTTGGAGGTAAGAAGCATGGCTCCACTGCGGCTCACTGTAGTCTGGGCTGGAGCCTCATCCAGGGTGGATGATGCCAGTTAATAAACTCACGGAATGAATGCTTCACCAACCCACCTTTAACATTGCTCTCTCTAACAATGTATGCAAAACTGGTGCAGAGGCCTCCTGCTTGGCTGCTTTGCTGCAACCCACTCTAGCTTATGATATAATATCAGAGCAAAAGAAATTGCGGCTGATCTTCTTGAATCACCAATGCATTTTAATGCAGAGCTCCCTTCAAGATTGTACAAGCAAATCCCCAGTATTTGATTGGTGATGTGCTGTACAGAAAAGGTCAGATTTGACTTTGGAGACATCTGCTTCATCACTTCCCAATTATCTCCAAATTTCTCAGTAAACTATTCTCAATATCATTACCATGTTTGAAGTCCTAATAAGGGACTCAAGCAGTTACTAAACTGGCATTAAAAACTAATGTTAGATTTGCTAATTAGCGCCCTTATTTCTCTGAATGGAAACCATTTTCAAGTTTTCATTTATCGCCTCTTGTGTGTAGCAATTTGAGGTACTGATGATAGCAAAATCAAGACATTTGGACTTGAATTCAAATAAGTTGGGAAAAAAATCAAAGCTTCCTTGCAAGGCCTTTTCCTACTCATTTATATATTATTGTGCAGCTTAACATTAGGAAATTGGAGGGGTAGAGTACTACCCTGAGCATGGGAGACCAGGGCTCGTATGTGTGCCATGTGGAACAAGTCACCTTTGTATTTCTGTAGGAATCAGACATGTTAAATTCCTTTGAGGATCTGGGTCTCAGTTTATTTGTTCCCAGTTTTCGAATGGCATTTCTCTACCCTGGGATGGAGATTGCAAGCAGGAATTAATTTAAAAACTGTGAGGTATTCAGACACTAGCGTTACTGAGAAAGCAGTTAAATGTCTTTATTCAGTAAAGCACTTCCCAAAAACCCAACCTTTATAGCAAGGCTAAGCAGAAGCTGCCATGCAGACCAAGGGGTTGGTTGGGGACTGATATAGCAAATACAGAATCTGGGGAGTTAATGGATTTTTTTTAATGAGTTTCATAGAACAGGGACAAAGCCAAAAAGGATAGCCAGAATAGGGTCTGGGGTCATAGCCTGGGGAAAACATTTGCAAATAAATAGGAATACATAAAAAAAGCCTGATTCATCACCCTCTTCTCCTACCAGAAATAACCCATAGCATTTTTTGCTAAATGTGTGTGACAGGGAGCCAGGGATTCCTGTTACTTTAAGAGAGTGTAGCAGGGTAAACTGGCTGTGTGGGGTGGCAGCAGAGAAGCACAGGCTGACCCTCAAGTAAAGGGGAAACTTCTGTGTGTGGCTGGGGAGCCACATGACAGGAAAGGACAGTGCTTTGAGGCATATAAGCCCAGGGCCCGAGGCAGAGGGGGCGATCTGGGTCTCTATGCTGCAGGGAGAGGAGATAGTAGGGAAGCCGGCTGCAGGAAACACGCCCATGGACACTCAAGGTAGCCAAGAGAAGTAGGTGGAGACAGTTAAAGGGGGAAGTATAGTTTGTGGTATGGTATTGACCCAAACTTGGGGGAGGATTTTAATTGGAAGTGATTTGCTTATATTTATGTTATGCTTAAGTTTAACACTGTAGGACTGGGTTGTGGCTACAGGGGGAATATGGAGGCCACAGTAGCGCTTGAGAGGCACTGCACATACAGCTCTGTAAGGGTTAGGGACCTGCGCATGATGAGAGCAGCTTTGCCTGGGTCAGAGACTCCAGAGGGCTGAACATGATGAGAGCAGGGCACAAAAGGGCAAGAGCAGGGCCAGAGCCCCAGAAGCCAAGGTCTAAGGCAATAGACTGGGACAGGAAGACACAGACAGAAAAAAAAGGGGCTGAAGCCCTAGCAAAGGTTTAAGGCCTAAGGGGCCAAGTGTGGAGTCAGGGCCAGGGTGTCCTCTCCAAATACTGATTGACACCTGCAAAGCATGAGCATGGATATATGGGAGGATGGAGACCATGATTATTGCCCTTAAGGTACAACTAGAGTAAAGAAGAACTATGCCCTGCAGAGTGTGAAACAGAGGCACTCCAAGGATCAGGGTTTGGAGGCAGAGGAGCTCTGAGGGCTAGATAAAGAAGGGCATCTAGGAAGAGACTTCCCCAGCCTCCGGAGGCAACCTCCCCAGTTAAATATCATAAGATCAAGTTATGGCAGGTGAGAGATAAGAGGTGAGAGAGGCCAGGGAGTT